AAGTCCATTATATGGAGAACAATCCTGGAATGTTTTCCTCAAAAACCTTCATTTCTTTGCGACTGAACACAGACATGAACATCTTGAAAGACACGGGGGAGAGTGAATGATCAGGAATTTTTATTCTGGAAGTGAACTACTCCTTTAAGTTACTTGAGAATCAAATCTGCATAAAATTAAACATCCTGTTTTCAGACACTCTATCGTAAGTGATTTTGTTGTATAAGAAGTCGTTAATTGGAAAACCTAAGGAAGATGTGATTTCTGCTCTGAAACAAAGACTGAAAGTCCACTTTTCCTCAAAAACCTTCATTTCTTTGCATTATTTTTGTCATCTTTATTTCATGCATTATGAAAGGCACTGAAACTGCACTTTGGACCTTCAACCCGCTGATCCCCATCTAAGTCCATTATATGGAGAACAATCCTGGAATGTTTTCCTCAAAAACCTTCATTTCTTTGCGACTGAAGACAGAAAGACATGAACATCTTGAAGGACACGGGGGAGAGTGAATGATCAGGAATTTTTATTCTGGAAGTGAACTACTCCTTTAAGTTACTTGAGAATCAGTAGTTCTTTTAGTTTGTTTATTTAGTTTTTTAGTTGCTTTAGTGCTTCAACTTAAACTAAATGAAAATGAGAAATGCTGCCCTGGCAACTAGCTGAAATAAAATACGTTTTTTAATATATTTTAATTTTATTCCAGTTAATGTTTATTTTACTTGAAGTAATGATTTTTTTTATGATTCTAGTTTACAATAATAACTCGGCTGATTCACGACTCGTCACTACGTTTTTGTTTTTTTTTTAAATCTAAATCAAGTCCTACATGTTTTTCTCACTGCATATCAAGTTTTACTCTGAAATAAGTCAAATTATAGAATGAAATGGGTTGTCAATGCCATGTTATTTTGACTTTTATACTGAAATCATTCTAACAGCAATCAAGTGTCAAGGAGCTCTACTTCAACTTGATCTTACAGCTGCTTTTGATACCGTTGATCATGGTATTTTATTGCAGCGTTTGGAAGATGTTGGTGTTAAGGGTACTGCCCTAGAATGGTTTAAGTCGTATCTAAAAGATAGATCTTTCTCGGTTTGTCTTGGAGATCTGTGTTCTACATCAGCTAAATTACATAGTGGTGTGCCACAGGGGTCTATACTTGGGCCTATTTTATTTTCATTATATATGGGCCCTTTGGGCTCAATTTTTCGTAAATATAATATTATGTATCATTTATATGCAGATGACACTCAGTTATATATCCCAATAGATCCAAATGTTTCTCAATCCTTTGATGGACTTGCTCATTGTTTAGGTGAGATAAGAGCTTGGTTGGCAAGCAATTTTCTTCATCTTAATACTAATAAGACTGAGTGTGTTGTTTTTGGACCTTCTTCTGCTTCTAAGGAAATTATAAGTAGGTTGGCCGCTATGAAGATAAGTGTTTCAGATCATGTTAAGAATTTGGGTGTTATAATGGATTCAGCTTTAGTTTTAGATAAACAGGTTACTAGTGTTGTGAAGGCTGCCTTTTATCAACTCAGAATTATTTCTAAACTGAAAAATTTCTCTCTTTTAAGGACCTGGAGAATATTATTCATGCGTTTGTGTCATCACGCATCGATTACTGTAATTCTGTATATATAGGTATTTCACAGGGTCAATTATCTCGACTTCAATTAGTACAGAATGCTGCTGCCAGACGTTTGACTCGCACAAAGAGGAGAGAGAGAATTACTCCAGTTTTGGTTTCTTTACACTGGTTGCCTGTAGAATTTAGAATTGAATTTAAGGTTTTGTTGATGGTTTTTAAAGCGTTGCATGGCATTGCCCCAAAATATATTGTTGACCTATTGATTCCTTATCAAAATTCAAGAAACTTGAGATCTTCGAATCAGATGAGTCTTTATGTTCCCAAAACAAGATTAAAATCAAAGGGTGATAGGGCTTTTTCAGTGGCTGCTCCTCGATTATGGGACCCTCTTCCAATGCATATTAAATCTTCCCCATCTGTGGATGCTTTTAAGTCTAGATTGAAATCGTACCTTTTTGGTAGAGCTTTTAGAATTGACTAGAGGGACCAGGTTTTACATTTTAATGTTGAATCTTGATTGTGTGACTGTATGTAATGTTGCTGGAAAGCACTTTGGTCAACGGCAGTTGTTTTAAATGTGCTATAGAAATAAAATTTGTATTGTATTGTATTGTATTGAAGCCAAACTTTAACTAATAATTAAAAGACATTCAGGAAGGAGTTTTGTTTTTCCCCCACAGCATGGATAAATCAGTAGCCAAGTTGTTAATTCATCATAAAATAAATGTTAACACAATAAATAAATAAACTTTTAATTATTTTATTTCAACTATTTCAGTCAAGGCAATATCTCATTTACTTTAAGTCGAAATTCTAAAATAACTAAAACTGAAGTAAAACTTAGACGTATTTTAACAAAAACTAATAAAAATGACAAAAACAAACAACAAAATTACTAAAACCTTAAAAAAAAATGGAAAATGTTAAATAAAAACTAATTCATAATATTAATAAAAAATATAATAGTATTCATCTGCTGCTAAACTTTTTGTGTGGTGTCCAGTTCTCTCATTATTTTGCCAGTTTCATTGTGCAACATCTGAAATGTTTGCAGTCTGATCGATATGATTGTCAAGAAAGAGATGGTGGAGGTACAGTAACTACTTCAACATTTCTCTCAATGGAAATGAAAAGCCTGTTGAGTGCATTGCTTTGTGGGCCACTCGACGGGCCACTCAATCACTCAAAAACAGGGTAACGTTGCATGTTTTTCATCAGCTAGATGGTAAACAAAGCAAAACCTCAAAGAGGCGATGAGCACCTTTTATACACGATTTTCAGGTCCCTCCACTCCAGGAAGCTGCACATCTTGGGCTTACGGGCCAGAACGGTCTGAACCAGCTCCCGCGTGATCTTCTTCTTCTCCTTATCAGACAGAGGAACGTACCATTTCTGCAGACGGAGCTTCCCCTGTCTGCTGAACAACAGCATGAACTGCATCTGAGGACAATGGCAAGAGAGATGGAGGTGAGATGAGCCAAGAACAGGGAAGCATTCTCTCCATGCATAATGACCTATGATCAATAAAAGCCTGGTAAATGTGATTTATATAATCAAAGACACTCAGGATCGAATGTGTTCAGTGCCACAGAATCATGCAAATTAATATCGCATCAAATCATGACAATAAACTCAATGCATCGGGCATATCTATTCTGAATTTAACAAAAAAACATGTAAAAAGGCACATAATTATATATTTTTCACATCTGACTATTTTCACTACATAATATCTATATAATGGCATACATGAAATGAAAACCATAAAAAAATCAATGTTAACAGATAATAAAAATAATAATAAATGTAAAAAAACATAAAAAAAATAAATGTAAACAGAAATAAATACTACATATAAATCAATGCATCTGGCATATCTATTCTGAATTTAAAAAAAAAAAAAAAGGCACAAAATTACTTGGGAAAAATAACTGAATAAAATATTGTTTTGATCATTTTCATTTAGTTTAACTACAACAATAACCTAACTAAAACTAAAAAAAATAAAAATAAAAAGGAATAAAACTATATAGACATACTTAAACAACTACAATGACAAAAACACACATTAAAATAGCTAAACTTTCAAACTAAATGAAAATGGAAAAAATACAAATTATGATAATAAACTCAATGCATGCATAAAAAACATAAGGCGCACACACACACACACACACATATATATAGAGAGAGAGAGAGAGAGAGAGAGAGAGAGAGTTAGAGTTGTATTTTTCACATTTTAATGTTTATATAATAGCACAAAATTATCATTTTTATTTTTAATATATGTATTATTAATATTATTAGTATAATTATCATCATCATCATTATTATTGTTGTTGTTGTAATAATAATAATATTTATATACTGTAAAAATGCGTGTCATACGGATAATATAATGATATATAGATTATCATTATAACCAAACTCGTTACATGTACATTTTTACATTTAATTACATACTTTATTGTTATATTATTATTGTTATCATCATCACTATTATACTGTAAAAATGCATATGTCGTACAGATAATAATGATATAGATTATAATTAATTTGTTGAACTTAAACGCCAGTTTTCCAGTGCCAGTTCATTTGCACAGGGTTGGGCTTTACTGATTGAGATATTACCATCATGATGCACAAAACTTCAGAGCAGATTTTGCGTTTTACACATTTGATTGCAAAGGTAATTAACGCGTTTGCCTAAACTAATAAGCATGTGATCTCCAATGCACGCTGCTATTTACACTTCTGTGTCACGCGGGGCGTGTGCAACCTTTTTCGGAAAGGAAATGATGAAACCGCGCAATACGTACCTTTCTGAAGAGGTCAGTTTGTAAATGAGGGATGAATTCACATGAGTTCTGGATTCACAGTGAGTCGCGTCTGTCTCAGCTCGAGTCTTGCGTGCAATAGATGCTGCTAAACAGAGTCAGCTGACGGCTCGTTACTCATTGGACGGAAGGTTCGCTCGGAGAGTTTTCATTGGTGGAAAGAAGACCGTTATTCCCGCCCACTCAGGAGCGCGGGCAGTTGATTGGATGATACTTGCGCCAGTCACCGCTAGAGTCACACCTCCCGTCGGTGTTGCTGGAAGAGTGATCAGAAGATTTAAAGGGAATAAACATTAGAGGATCGCATTCAGTGTCACATTTAAAAGCGTTTGTTTTTTCTGTATCTGGTAAAAACATTCGGCTAATTAAGGCCTAATTGCTTTTGCGGTCAACAACACCTCAGTCATATAATTATGTATTGTATTAACACAAACAATGTACCAAACATATACAATGACATAGAACTACAAAGTTTTGAGTCAATTATAGAATGTTTTCACTAGCAATTGTTTATCATACTGATGTTTTCGAAACTAAATTATTTGGAAAATTAAGAAATAGGCCTAACTATATAATAATAGGCTACTTTCACATAAACATGCAGATTTTATATAAAAATGTATTTCATTAATTGCATTATTATTGTGTCGTGTTGAATTTGTATGTGCGCACTGGAAGCTTCAATTCTACACTTGGCAATGTTGAAATGTCAGGTCGGGGCAAGTTGTCACGTGCGTTTCAGATGTTAGAAACGCTTACAATTTATTAATTGCAATATCTGTTGGACAAAATGATTTGAGCATAAACAAGAAGCTTCGTTAAAATCCCTGTTAATGAATAATTTAAGACAACAAACAGGCTGTTTATATCATAAGTTTAGCCTACTGACGTTACAGCGCCACCCAGTGACAAGAGTCGATATGGAGCCTTCTCACAATTTACATGTTTATATTATAAATAATTAAAATGTACATGTATAACATTATATTGCACTGCTATTAAACTACAAAAAATACTAGTAAACACTGCTGGCATGGGAGTTTCACAGGGAGTTTAATCGTGTCCGTAAACAGTTTTTCAATCTTCTCACTACAATTTCAATCTAAAATTTTATTTTGGGAGGAAAGCAAGGTTGACATTTGTTATGGCCTCCCAGCATGTGAACAAAATCCCCACAAAAGTTCATCATTCATATGCTTGGTTTTTAGTTTTGCCAGTAAGCATTCAAAAGATTTAAAACCGTTCAGGCGCAAGAAATCACGAAAGAGAACAAATTCGGTACTCGAGCGCTGCTTTCTGTAGGCGCGCGCACACAGAGAGCCGCTTCTCAGACAGCGCACCATTACAAAATAAGTTAACTTTTCATCTTACCGCGCTTGAAAGGCCCAATACAATTAAAATAGAGTCAAAATGCCCGTTTTGGCAAATGCCCTTGTATAAGCACGGTCTAAGTTAAAATAAAAAGTTTTAAATTAACGTAAACTGAGAAAATCTGATGCGTGTGTCAGATCCGTACATTTGATCTGAAAGAGCAGTTTGCTGTCTGTTACATTAATCTTAATTAAAGACCAAAAGAAAAATCACTCCGCTCAAACCTGCTCTTCACTGAATAGCTTCATCTTTAATAAGGATTAATTTATAAATATGTGGAAAAACTCACGTTAAATACTGCTCAGCATTTAGCAAAATTAACAAGTCTGTCTCACGCAGGCGCAACAGGCAACGTAGGTTTCATTTTGTGTGAAAACATGAAGGAAGGAGTGCTGAAAGAAATTAAATTAAAGAATGCATGCTTAAATTAATTCTCTGAATGCATAAGGGGGAACCAACTGTCTTCAGAAAAGTTTCGATGGCATGATTTCTTTTTTATCTTCTCTCTGTGTAATGCCTACAGAAGTGTTTATAAGCACAGCGGTTACCGGGGAAACCGCTCTATTTCTGCTGTTATAGTTATAGTTTCATTCAGCCTGTCTGCCTTTTTTTTTTTGTTCAGACCAATGCGAAAATCGGATCGATTTTTTGTTATAAATCTTAACTGGTAGATAAAAAATCTCAACACTTTGGATAAAGTACAGCCTATGTAGAATTGGTTATGGAGCAGATGAAATGCCTATAGCTTATGATTTGACCTTTTCTTAAAAATTAGTTAAAGACTGAAATGTGAGGTTTACAATATCATAAAAATTTTTTTTGTCAAATCTTTATTTGAACACGTTAGTAGATAACATGTTATGTTGTAAGTCACCCAACCAAGATTTGTTTTGTTTGTTTAAAATCCAGCCATCATTTTTAATATTACTATTTTAGTGTATATGTAAACAAAAAGTGCATAGTGCTTCTAATTTTATTTGTTGGTTTTCGACATAAAACTCATTTTATTGTGTGTATGAGCACTTTTTCAACATTTCCAACACATTTTAACAATAATATTAACGATGATCATGGTCATTTATTACCGTTTACTCTTCTTTATATAACAATTTATTAAAATGCAAGGTTACATGCATCAAAAACAACAGCTTTCTTTCTTTTTCCTTAAATTATGTTAATAATAATAATTTCCTGAAAATATTATGTTCTTTGTGTCGTTTTAATTGTGATAATCCATTGCATATTAAAACGGTTCTAAAACGGACCATTACCCTACACTCAGTTGTGGTCCCCCCCCCCGTCAGATCAGAATTACGCCCCTGTGAGCCACCACAGAACCAGACTTTAGCAGCTCTTTTTACTTTGAGAGGTTAAATACAGATTTAAAATCATAAAGTTTAATTTGAAATCAAATCTTGGCATAGCTATGACAAGAAACACTGGCATCTAACAAACCTTTGGAAAAAAAAATGTAATCTTTAAAAAAACAAAAGCATATACACAAACCCAAATAGGAAATAAACCAGTTTTCGAATAAGCATGTGTCCTATTCTCTGTGTACTAAACTCCTGAGACATTAGGGTCTCATTTTAGAGCAGTCACTGCAATTTATGAAGGAAATCAATTAATTTCACATAACACAGTGTAATTAAGTAAATTCAACAAATTTGTAAAAATCAGTTATGTTTACTTGCTTTTCTTAAGTAGATTCAGTGATTACTTTTTACAGTGTACGTGGGTGTGTGAAAAATTCAGATGTAACCCCCTTTGCAATCGTTAACATTTTCATAACCAATTTAATTACACATTTTATTCTCAGTAACTGATTGCACTTACATTTCGTAATTAAATTAGGCCTATGTAATCCAGTTACATGTAACTAGTTACTCCAACACTGCTCACGATACCCTGCACCCCAAAAAAATTTAAAAAAATAAAACGGCCTTCCGTTGTTCTCTTGGACAAATTAGTTTGGCTGCATATTAGGCTATACAGTCATGGCCAGCCGTTTTGGCAGGGACATAAATTTTGTGTTTTGCAACACGGTGCTCCATCATGCTGGAAAATGCACGGATCGTCACCAAATTGCGCATGGGTCGTTGGAAGAAGTCGCGCTTGCAGGATGTTTGGATACCATTTTTTATTCATGGCAGTGTTTTTGGGCAGAATTATGAGAAAGACCACTCCCTCGGTTGGAAAGCAACCCCACACATGGATGGTCTCAGGATGCTTCACTGTTGGCACGACACAGGACTCATGGTTGTCTTCTCCGAACAATTGATTTTCCAGATGTCTCAAACAGTCGGAAGGGAGCTTCATCAGAGAAAATAACTTTGCACCAGTCTTCTGCCGTCCAATCCTTGTACTTCCTGCAGAATTCCAGTCTGTCCTTGATGTTTTTCTTGAAGAGAAGTGGCTTCTTTGCTGCCCTTCTTGACACCAGGCCGTTGTCCAAAAGATTGTCCATTCCTGAGCAAGCTCTGCACTGCTGGAGACACCGAATCCGCAGCTGACTCCTCAAGAGGAGACGGTCCTGGTGCTTGCTGGACACTCGTCCTGAAGACTTCACTGCAGTCAAACCGCTCTACTTGAAGTTCTTGATGATCCGGTAAATGGTTCTTTGAGGTGCAATATTCTTTGTAGCAATGTGAGGCCATTGTGATGCAACGCAACGGTGGCCGCATGGGTTTCTTTGGAGGTAACCATTGCGAACAAGAACACAATGACTGGAAGAACTTCCCTCCTTCTATAGCAATCAGTCTGCTCTTACAATCTAATTAGTATGATAGTGATTTAACCTGACTAGTACTCATTCACACTTTCACATGTGCTGCTGATATGATTAGTCAATTAATGTTAGATTGTCACTTTGTCAAATCCTGACTGATGGTGATCCATTCTTGCCTTATTAGTTCTCAGAGTTGATCACAATCTGTGGGCTTCTGCTTGTCCACTCACCGTTTGAGGACTGACCACAGGTTCTCTATGGGATTGAGATCCGGAGTTGCCTGGCCACGGATCCAAAATGTCAACGTAATGATCTTCGAGCCACTTCATCACTCTTGCTTTGTCTTTGGAGGTAACCATTGCGAACAAGAACACAATGACTGGAAGAACTTCCCTCCTTCTATAGCAATCAGTCTGCTCTTACAATCTAATTAGTATTATAATTATTTTTACCTGACTAGTACTCATTTACACTTTCACTTGTGCTGCTGATACGATTAGTCAATTAATGTTAGCTGGTCATTTTGTGTCAGGATCAAAAAACAGTGAAATTAGTTTTTGCAAAGTTCTTTTTTTTTTGGCCAATGAAGCTTTTAGCAATTATTTCAAAATGCATCGGATGACTCCACACAATAATCTAGAAGCAACGTGAATGAACACCACAACAGCTTAAGCAGCAAGCTTTGCAAAACACAATTTGAGTCACTGCCAAAACTTTTGGCCATGACTGTACATTAGCATACTCTAATATTCATGAGCTAAACTATGGCATGAGAGAAGCAGGTAAATGTTCACAAATTGTGACAGAATTAATCAGTGACCTTTTCTTTAGAGATGGTTCCACTGCAAAGAATATGAATTATGAATCACATTTTAAAAACTGTTACTTTTAAGTACAGGGTGCCGTTGCCAAGCGACTCCTGGTTCCCGCCACTGCTGAACAGAAGTTTAAAAACGCTACTGCGGCGGGTTGCGTAGCAACAAGACGCGAAAACTTTGGAGACCGTACACAAATATGCCTACATTTACGAACCTCAAAGCGCAATTTAAAATCACGCTGCAATAAGTCAAACAAAATGTCATGGCGTACAGTGTTTTTTTAAAAACGAAAGCTCTTTATTCATCATATACACGTCTAAAAGCGCAGCA